AGAATGAAGTGGCCCTCTTTGTCTCTTCTGATTAGTTTTAGTTTTAAGTCTATTAGATTTGCTACGCCTTCTTTTTTCTTAGTGTCATTTGCTTGGTATATTTTTTTCCATCCTTTCACTTTGAGATAGTGTCTGTCCTTGAAAGTGAGATGAGTTTCTTGCAGACAACAAAAAGATGGGTTTTGTTCCTCAATCCATTCACATAGTCTCTGTGTCTTTTCACTGGGGAGTTCAGTCTGTTAATATTTAAAGTTATTAATGAAAGATGACTATTGAATCCTGTCATTTTTATTTCTGTTTACATTCTTGATATAGCTGTACTTTTCCACAGTTATACCTTCATAAGATATCTTTCTGCAACCCCTTGTGTATAGTCATTCCTTTCTTTAGCTCTTTATATTGCTTCCAGAACTTTCTGAAGACTGGTTTTGTGGACATGAATTCCTTCAGCCTCTTTATGTCATGGAAGATTTTTCTTTCCCCTTCAACTGTAATAGACATTTTGGCTGGGTATAGTAATCTGGGTTGGCATCTGTGGTCATTTAAAACTGGGAATAGTTTGGTCTAGGCTCTTCTAGCTTTCATAGTTTGCATTGAAAAGTCAGCTGTGATCCTAATGGGTTTTCCTTTATATGTGACTTGTTGTTTCTCTTTTGCAGCTTTCAGTACTGTCTCTTTGTTCTGTACATTTAGTGTTTTTACTATTATGTGCTGTGGAGAGTTTCTTTTCTGGTCCTGTCTATTTGGTGTTCTATATGCTTCTTGTATTTGTATGGGCATGTCTTCTGTAATTCTGAAGGTTTTGTTGTTGTTGTTATTTTTCCTCTTACAGTAAGTTTTAAGTATTGTCTCTTTGTTTTGTACGTGTAGTGTTTTTACTATGATGTGCTGTGGAGAGTTTCTTTCTGTTCCTGTCTGTTTGGTTTTCTATATGCTTCTTGTATTTATATGAGCATGTCTTTCTTTAATTTGGGGAAATTTTCTTCAATGATTCTGTTGAAGATCTGGTCCATGCCATTATCCTGGGATTCTTCCCCTTCCTATATGCCTATGATTCCTAAGTTTTGTCTTTTTATGGTGTCACACAATTCCTGCATATTCCATTCTTGTGATTTCTTAAATTTTTCATAATCTTTGCTTGAGTGGTCCAGTTCATCCACTTTATCTTCCAGTCTTGATACTCTGTTTTCAGTTTTGTTCATCCTATTGTTGAAGCTTTCTCCTGTCGTTTCTGATTGTCTTACTGAGTGTTTCACTTCCTTCTTCATTTCAGCCTGAGTATTCTTCAATATTTCTAACTCTTTTCTGAATTCATTCAGAAGTTTATCCCTATCTTCCTCAGTTCTTTGATTTCTTTGTGTGTTCTTTAAATTCACTGAGTTCTTTTACTATATTTATAAATGTTCTTTTGAGTTCCATGTCCTGCATAGTCTCTAGAGGATTCTCATTGTGCTCCTCTAGAGGATTACTGGTATTTGGTGGGGATATGTTATTTTGGTTTTTCATGTTATTATTTTTTCTCTGTGATTTTGACATGTGAATTTCTTTTGTAGTTTCTGACTCTTGTTTTTTTTTAGGTCTGCTTCTTCTTGTGAACTTTATGTGTCTTTGTGGTTTACTTTTTGGAGATGAAAAGCTGGTTCATCTAAGGTTCTAGTTTTCTCTTTTGATTTTATATTTGAGTGGCCTAATTGCTTTTGTCTTCAGGAGTTCCCACAGAGGCCCAATTCAGGTGAGGGTCAGATGTTTTCAGGCTTTCTCCTAAGGTCTGGATCCCTCCAGGAACGATTTTGACCTCAGGAATTTGGGGGTTGGACTGGACTGGCAGCTTGGCCCAGGAAAGATGCTGGTCTAGGGCATCTGGTGGCCTTGCCACCCAGAGATGCAAAGGCAGATGGGGCGGGAAGAGGCCCCAAGGACTCCTTGGTACTGCACTGAGGAGCTGGGTTGGTCTGGATGCAAAGGAAAGAGGAAAGAGGCTGGCAGGTGGTGCAGGTCCAGGGAAGCAGAGGGAGGTGAGGGCGGGTCCAGGCCCAGAAGCAGTGCTCCTGGGGCCGGGAGAAGGCACTAAGTTGGTCTGGATGAAAAGGATCAGGAAGCAGTATTGGTTCCCCAGGTGTCTGGGGCCCCAAGACAAGGAATGGGACAGGACCCAAACTAGGAGAGACATCTGGGGGAGATAGAAGGGTGAATCAACTTTTTTTGTTTTTAATAAACTTTTTATTTTTATTTTATGTGTATACATGTACTCCCTACATGTAGGTGAGTGCACCTGTGTTGTGCAAAACCCATGGAGGACAGAAGAGGCCATTGGATCCCCTGTAACTGGAGTTATGGACAGTTGTTAGCTGACATGTGGGTGCTAGGATTCAATTCCCAAGTCTTCTGTAAGAACCACCAGTGTTCTTAACCACTGAGCCATTTCTCCATCCCTGTATTTGGATATTTTTGTCCCCAGATGATGGGGCTCTTTGGGGAGGTTTTTAGAAGGTGTGGCTATCCTAGAGGAAGCACTTCACTGGGGGTGGGCTTAGAGAGTTCTTAAGCGATGCCAGATCTCCAGTCGCTCTCTTGCTTCCTGTGCCTGCGTGATGATGTGAGATCTTAGCTTCTGCTGCTCCTGCTCCAGCCACCTGCAGCCACCATGCCTCTCTGCCATGAAGGGCTGTAATTCCCCTGGAACCATAAGCTCAAATAAACCCTTCCTTCTATAAATTGCTTGGGTCAGTGTTTCTATCACAGCAACAGAAAAGTGACTAATACAATGGCTCAGCAGCTGGACCATTTGATTTGGGCCTTGAACTGGATGGCCCAACTAACTGTAGCTTGGATGGGGACAGGGAAGGTAATTCAGACATGAACAACAGCATGGGGGCAAATGGGAACAGGATGTGAGCTCAGCTGTCGGCTACATGGAGCATGAACAACATGGAAAGAGGGCAGGTGCACATTTGGAAAGGCCAGCACTAATAACCCAGCTTTACACTTGTTCCAAGTTCTGACTCCTGAGCTCAATGTCAAAGTGTTAATCATTTTTGCAAGAAATGGGCATTAAGGGCTGGAGAGATGGCTTAGCAGTTAAGAGCACTGGCTGCTCTTGCAGAGGACCCAGATTCAATTTCCTAGCACTCACATGGTGGCTAACAACCATCCACAACTCCAGTGCCAGGGGATCCAACAATGCCTTCTGATCTCCGAGGGCCTTGCATGATACAGGTGCACTTACACACACGTAGGCAATACCTTTATACAGATAAAAATACAAATAAAATAAGATAAAAAATTTTTAAAAGAGATGAGAGTTAAACACATGGACTCTTGTCTCAGCTGTAATTGGAGAATTACCAGCTAAGGTTAAATTTTGTATAAATGAGAATATTTTCAGAGATAATACCCACAGCTTTTATCTCGTTTCAAAGGATTCTTTGATAAGAGGTTAGAATCTATTATTTCCCAACATGCCTTGCGTATCACATGTGAACCATAAGTGTTGGTTGATTGATTTTGTTTTGTGGTGCTGATAGTTGTACATGGTGGGCAAGCACCCTACCACTAAGTACACTGACAGTTCTGTATGTTTGTTGATTTAAATACTGTATTGAGCTGGGTGTGGTGGCGCACGCCTTTCATCCCAGCACCTGGGAGGCAGAGGCAGGTGAATCTCTGTGAGTTCAAGGCCAAACTGGTCTACATAGTGAGTTCCAGGCCAGCTGGGGCTACAGGGAGACCCTGTCTCAAAAAGACACTCCCCCCCAAAAAAAAAATACAGAATTGATTATATATGACTATAAAAATGTGAACAAAGTTGTAACACTTGATAGTTCATGGGGTATCATCTAGATCTGAAAATCTCCTTCATTGGGCCCTTTACTTTGAATGGCTCTTGCCACTAAAATTGTGTCTATATGATCCATCCCTTTGATCCAGGTTTTTAATGTGCTCTTTCTGTTTTTCTCCAGGGAAAGAAGGTAGATGGCTCTGTAAATGCCTACGCCATAAACGTGTCTCAGAAGAGGAAGTACAGGTGTGTACACTCCACATCCCATGTTTGTGCTTGAACTCAATTTCAGATTTGGAAAGAATGAATTTTATTACAGGATAATTGTGTGTGTTTAAGAAATGTAGCAGTTGGGGCTGGAGAGATGGATCAGCGGTTAAGAGCACTGACTGCTCTTGCAGAGGACCCCGGTTCAATTTTCAGCACCCACATGGTGGCTACAAACTGTCCTTAACTCCAGTTCCAGGGGAATCCGATGCCCTCTTCTGACCTCCGCAGCATTGCATGACACAGGTGCACTCACATACATGCAGTCAATACACTCATACACATAAAAACGATTGAAAAAAGAGAGGGGCAGGAAGGGAGAGGGGAGGGGGGAAGGGAGGGGAGAGAGAAAGTTTGCCATACTGGCTCTTGATAGTCAGTCTTTTAATTTTTTTCCTTTTGTTTTGTTTTTGAGACTATTTCATGTAGCCCAGACTGGCCTCAGACTTGTTATGTAGCTAAGGATAACTATGACCAATACTTCTGCTTCCATCTCCCAAATGCTAGGGATTATAGGCATGTGTCACCAAGCCTGGCTCCTGCTCTTTCCTCTGGTTTAGTGAAATACTATCTTCCCTGCTTATATTCTGATATGTTAAAATTACCTTCCAATTTACATGTGATCAAGTAGCTCTTCCTGTTACTGCCTTGAGACATGTCTGGCTTTGGTTAGGCCTGTCAGCTCTCAGCATCCACCAGCCCCCCACTGCTGGGGTTACAGACATGTCCAGCAGTGCCCAGCTTTTTACATGGTTCTGGGTCCTCATGCTTGGAAAGCAAATGCTGAACCATCTCACCAGCCCTGGTGTCGACACGGGGTCTGTCTATATGTATCACAGACTGGGCTGTGCCTCAGCTTCTGTGATGCTGGAGTTAGACACATACCACCATACCCTGCTAAAACCTTGCTGTTCTAAGGTGAGGTTAGTTTTAATTCTTGAGGTATGTTAATCGTTTTATAAGTTTTTAGAACATGAGTCCAAATTCTTAAAAACAATTTTTCTCTTCTTTCATAGGCAGTACATGAATCGAAAAGGTGGATTCAACAGACCTTTGGATTTTATTGCATGAGACTTGAGATATTGAAAGAAGGATTTTTCCCCCTCATCTGGGTCAGAGAGTGTTTTGTATTTTGTATTTAATATTCATAGAAACAGGATCTTGGTTCTTCCTTATAAAGTAAGGAAATCTTATTTATGACATCCACAGTTTACTTCCTTAGCTCAGAAGGCAGGTGCATTCTTTCTAAGGCTGTGTGCATTGGGTGTTGCCACCCTACTGTCAACCTCACTGTCCTTGTGAGGATGCGCATACTTTCTTCTTGGACACTGTTTAGGATTTCTAAAAAGGGAAATAACTTAGACGTTTCTCCAATAAAACAATATTTCTACCCATCTTATATGTGATAAGTATCTTTTTTCCTAGATTAAAGATGTTTTCTTTTTACTCACATAGATTTAAGGTTTTGTTGTTATTTTGTCTTGACAAGCTTTTGCTATGTAGCCCAGGCTGGCCTTGAACTTAGGACAATCCTCCTGCCTCTGTAACCCTTGTGCTAGGATTAGAGGTGTGTCTCACCACGCCAAGCTCAGATTTAGATATTTTGATTCTTGGTAGTTTAAAAACTAGAAAAATGGAAAAAGTATAGCTTTGGATTTTTATATAGTCAATGTTTTCCCCCAAAGTATTGTTTATTGTATTTCTCCAATTATAAAGCAATGCATATTTGCTATAAAAATACTTGAGAGAGCCAAGCAGTGAAAGAGAAGCCACAGCTCACCTGTAATTTACTCCAGAAATAGTAAACGTTAACATTTGGTTTGTGCCTTTCTAGGTTCCTGTGGGTGTGTATTTCTCTACCCAACTCATGCAATGTGTATATAGTTCCCCTCTAACCCTTTTCCTCATTTTTTAACAACATTTTTATGCTTGTGTTACTGTTTAGAACCTTGACATCCTGCAGCCTCTTGGCTGCATCACAGTTTATCAGCCCATCCCTCACTGGTGAACAGGAGCTTGTCTCCACAACTATTACAATTAAAACTGACTTGTCTTTCCCCACTGTGTATATATTTTTGTTCTTGATCTGGTGTTTCTTCAGAGTCTGTTCTTAGATGTTGTATTACTGAGTGGGAGATAGATGGATATGTTTTAAGGTTTTATGTATATATAACTAGAAGGTTTAAAAAAAAAAAAAACCTCTAGTAAAATCTGAGCATTCCCGTTTTATAAATGTGCACAATTAGTACATATAATCATTTTTTAAAGTTTCCTATTTGATGGATAAGTTATGATACTTGTTTTTGTTTTCATTTAGTATTTAGAAAAAAATACTTTGGGGGCAGAGGGGGGTTGAAACAGGTTCTCCCTGTAGCCCCAGCTGGCCTGGAACTCACAAAGATCTGCCTACCTCAACCAAAGCGTGCTGATTCATCAGCCTGCTTGAATGTTTTTTAAATATATTAACCACAGACATTTCTGATAAGTGCTGATTTCAGATCTTATATTCATTGTCTTTCAATATACTTTCTTTTCCTACTTGAAGATAGTTCTATTTATTGAAGACAATAAGCATCACAGGTTCTGTTTCATATGTTATTTCTATCTGAAGCTTTGTGGCTTAGAGTTTAAATTTTATTCTGCAGAGTAACTGCTGCAAATATATGAAGCACAGGTCAGTTGTTCCCAAGGCTATCTAGTGACAGGTTGTGTAGCTATTTAAACAGCTCATATGTGCACAGGTGTGTTTTTAGGTGGACCACATGAAAGTTGGCTGTGTGCACTGCTCCTCACCCAGCCTCTGTTCACTCCAGAATGTTTGTCAGCATGCGTGAAACTTCTGGTTCTCATTGTAGAATAGAGCATATATTACTGTAGCCTTTGTTGAGGGACCTTCAAATTATTTCTGATCTTTTGCAATTTTAAAGAACTCTGTAACAATGACCCTTGTATCATTATTTTATAGGTATTTTAATATAATTTTAGTGCCCTTTTTAATTCTCTAAGTTAGCATACAAAGTACTGGGTTTCATTGTGGCATTTTCATGATGTATCAGCATGCTTTGTTCTTATTCATGCACCTCCCAGCTCCACTCCTTCCTGCTGGTCCCCTTCCTCCCCCTGGTAGTTTCCCCCCGTCTACCCTCTCTTAAGATCTCTTTCTCCTCTCTCATGGTCCCCTTTCTACATTCGTGACTCCACTGATACATAGGTAAACACATGTACTTAAATATAAGCCTAGATTCCACATATCAGAAAACATGCGGTATTTGTTTCTTAGTGTTCTGACTTATTTCACCTAACATAATGATCTTCATTTTCCTTTGGCTAGATTTTGAAATTGGACTACACCTGAAATTTGCCCTATTGTAGTTCTTTACAACTTTCCTAGCAAGTTAGTTCTGTATAAGATTGGCAGAACAGCCACCCTGCATGCTCCAGTGCACACAGCACCTCAGTCCTCAGTCCCTGAGAGCAGCCACAGCAGTTTCCAACATGTCTGCTCTCAGAGGAGCAAGCTCAGCTCTTCAGAGCAGGAAGGCAGAGATCTCTGAGGTTGATACTACCCACTGCCTGCAGCAGTTCAGTATCTGAACGTTCTATGTCAGTTATAGAGATTGAAAGACACTGCCCAGCATCAGCAGTGCACCGGGTCACCATATGCCTGTGAATTTTCCATGATGGGACTGTCTGTGACATACCTCTACCTACCTCAGGAAAGCAGGACTACTTGTTTTAATAGGAATGCTGAATCTTATAGGATAAGTTATATACCCCAAGCCAAACTACGTGTTTTGGTATTGTCACTTGACTGGAATGTGATGGTTGTAGAGTTAACTTGAGGTCCTTTATATTCTCCAAGAGCCAACACCACAGGAAACAGGAAATTAAGAAACAAGTCTTGGCTAGGAGGAATGTTTGTATGTTCTATCATCTGATTCTGGAGGAATAACAGAGGAACACCTTTTCTTCTAACAAGTTGCTGTCTTCAGAGGATATAAATTGTGCCAGATCTGTTCCCAAGTGTGCGCATGTTGGTGTGCCTGGGGCTTTGTCCCTAGACTTTCCACCTGTACTCCATGTGACTTGAATGTCTTCTGTGTGGCCCTTGGGTGTGTACACCAGGCTGATCCACTAGCTGAAGCCTTGCACTGTTAGGTGCCTCAGACTTAAAGTCAAACTGAGCTCTGATTTCCCTGCTACTCTTTTCTCTGAGGAGCCCCTGTTTTAGACCATTTCATTTACTTCTTCATTCAGACCAAAGTCCTGGGTCATCCTCGACATCCTCGACGCCTCTTTTTCATGCCCTGTATCTGATTCTTCAGCTTTGATGTTTTCAGTCTGACCACTGCTCACCACTTACAGTAGTCCAAGCCGACTGTGCCTAGACAGCTGCAATTGTTCCTGAAGGTCTCCCTGGGCCTGCTCTTGTTGCCCCTGTGCTCTCTGCCTCACAGCAGAGAAGAGCCCTTTCAAATCTGCACCAGGTCATTCCCCCTGCTCCAGTGACTCTCCATCATTTGGGATGAGGTCTGTGTTCACTGCAGTCTCCAGGCCTCCATGAGCTCTGAGCTCATACCCTAGCTTACTGCACTTACTGATCTTTGAGACTAGGCATGTCGGCATGTGCCTGCCTTACTGTCCACTTTCTCTCCCTTCTGGCATGTTCCCATGCCAGATTTGTACAGTACTTTCTTTATAGCATAAAATTCACACATCATTACTGTGTTAAAGTGGGCAGTAGTTTCAGTGTGCTCATAGTTGGGTATTCATCTTCAAGTCTAGAGTCCTTCCATCCCCAGAAGAAACCCTGAACCCATTAATACCCAGTCCTTATCCCCCACCCCTGTAGATCACTAACATATGCTCTACCTAGCTATGTGTCTGTTGTGGCACTTCTGTAGAATTGTGCCACATGTCTGGCTGCTTTCACTTGACATAATGAATTTAGGTTCATCCATGTTATAGCATGTATGGGTGCACCATCCATTTTTATAGCTGAATAATATTCTATTCTGTAGGTTATGCCATGGTTTCACTTATGATTCAACGGCTGGGCACTTAGGTGGTTTTTGTTTTTATGAATAATGCCCCCATGGACACTAGGATATTTTTGTATGAACACTTTTTTTTTTTTTTTTAAGACAAGGTCTCATTATGTAGATGACTGGCCTGGAACTTGCTAAATAGACCAGGCTGGCCTCAAACTCAGAGATCTGCTGAGGCCTCTCAAGTGCTGGGATTAAAGGCCTGCACCACCACACAGGACCTGAACACATTTTTTTCTCAATTCTCTGGCCTATCTGTGCAGAGGTATAATCACTGGCTATAGAATGACTTCTGTTTAAGCTTCTCCAGAACAGCTGCACTGTTGGGTACTCTGTGCTGTGGGAGGCTGCTGCACCTGCTCTCCAGGCCTGCCTTTACTTCCTCACAGCATTTATCACATGTTTGCTTGTTACCAGTAGTTTCTTCTACTCTAAGAAACTGCACTTGTCTTCTTCACCAACTTAGCCCAGCCCCACAATATACCTGGCACAGAGTAAAATACTGAAAATACCCATTGAATCAGAATATAGTGCTGTTAGCTTTTTTACTGAGATACTTTTCCTGATTTTTATTCTAACATCATAATTTGAAAGTATCTTAAAATACTATGTCAGAGCTAATTCCCTTTAAGCTTACATTAAAAAAAAAATTATGTGTATGTGTTTTGCTTGCGTGTGTGTGTGTGTGTGTGTGTGTGTGTGTGTGTGTGTACCTGTGAGTACATTGCTTGTGGAGGCCAAAAGTGGGTGTCAGATCCCCTGGAACTAGAGTTACAGGTAGTTGTTAGCCACCATGTGGGTGCTAGGAACCAAACCCAGGTCCTCCACAAGAGTAGCCAGTGCTCTTAACCACTGACCCATCTCTCCAGCCTCTAATTCCCTTTTGAATAGTCACAGACCCATCACCCCAGTCTCACTGCTGAGCTTTGCCTGTGTCCTTCCCTTTTCTATGCAGCCATGTATGTGAAACAGTTGGGAATGACTATAGTTTGGGCTATTTATTTAAACTGTTGGGACAGGGTCCCACTATGTAGCACAGTTTAGCCACTAATTTATGGTAATCCTGCCTCAGGTTACTGAGTGTTGGGATTACAGATGTGGTATACTACACCACACTTTTTAAAAAACAACTAGTACGTAGAGATCATTTTACAACTGCGTTAACATGGTTACCTAATAGAGCTTTCTGTACCAGTATAAATGTAAGTCTACCTTTAAAGAACCCTGCTACCTAGTGTTTTGTGTAATGTGCGTATGTGTGTGTACATGGTATGTGTGTTTCCTTTGCCCTACTAATAAAGTCAAAGGTTTTGAAAATCCTAGTGTCATGATGAGGGATGATGACACTCAAGTGTCCAAAGTGATCACAAAAAAAGGAGGTTGATATTAAAGCAGAAATGTCCTGTTTCAATTTTTGATACTTCAAGAAACAAAACAATTCCTCCAAATCTTAGAAATGGGGCCAGAGAGAGGGTTCAGTTGCCAGCACCCACATGATGGCTAACAACCATTTGTAACTCCAGTTCCAGGGGATCTGGGGCCCTCCTCTGGCCTCCCCAGACATTGGACACGTGGTGCACTTACATACATGCAGGCAAACACTGGTACACATGCACTAAAATTAAATTTATAAAAAACTTAAAAACAAAATTCATCATATATTAGAGCTGGAGAGATGGCTCCGTGGTTAAGAACACTGGTTGTTCTTGCAAAAGACCCAGGTTCAAATCCCAGCACCCACATGGCAGCTAATAACTGTTCATAACTCTGATCCCAGGGGATCTGACAGCCTCTTCTGACCTCTGCAGGCATTGCGCAACACAGGTGCACTTACCTACATGCAAGCAATACACACATACACATAAAATAATAATTTTTTTAAATCATATATCATAGTGGGTAGGCAGTGTAAAACTCAGTTGTGAAGGTATTTTAATTCCCACGGCTAGGCCTCTCAGACAGCGAGGTCTGTAAGTGGTCATATTCTGAGGTGCTCACTGCAGCAGCCTCCCTGGGTCATCATGATGGGAAGCATCAGGGATAGAGGGTGTATAAGAACTGGAAGCCGTTTCCTTTGTTTTCTGTGTACTGCGTCACTGCCAGGAGATGGCGCCAAATGCTCTAAATTCTTGGTGCTAATTAAGTTCCAGTTGTGTTGCTAATTCATTTCTTCACCACCAGGGAAGGAAAAGGCTACATTCCTTAGTGTTAGTCTGTGGCGTTTATGTAACTTAAAGTATTTTTCTTTGAAGTTGAAGCTATACTTGTTGGTGTTTAAATTATTTCTTTGCTTTCTCTAGGACACTCACCATGCTTTAAAGAAATGTGTAACTTTTTTTTTTCAGTTAGGATGATTCTAGGGGAAGGGTTATGATACTGAAATAGGATTGAGTTACCAGATTAAAATAAGCTATTGAGCACCAGGCATGGTGGTGAATGCCTTTAGTCCCAGCATTTGGAAGGCAGAGGCCAGGTGGAGCTACATAGTTCCAGGCCAGCTGGGGCCAGAGGGGGGAACCTGTCTCAAAAAGAAAATGAGTGAGTAAATAAATAAATAAATAAATGCTGTTGAGAGCAAAAGAGAAAGACTAAAGAGCTGAAATCCATGCTGGTAAAATCAAAACATTTTTAGGAATATCAGATTGGTTACTTTAATAGTTGTATACATTTTCTTAGTTTGCAGTTTTATTTTACAAACAGCAGTTTAAAAACACTTAAAATGGTGCCTTCCCCATTTCCATCTCCAACTTTGTTCTGTGTCTTCATGAAAAACTATCTTGCACATGTCATGCAGCACATGCACTAAGCTGCACCCCCAGCCCATGTGTTCTGTCAAGGTTTAAGTTATGTTCGGAGACCCTGCCATGTCTTTTGTACAACTACCAACCAGAGGATTGGCCAGCAGTTCTGGGTAAGGCAGAAAGGGGTTCAGGTCCCTACAGTGGAGGAAGGACAGGAAAGTCATTTCTATCTAGGCCTGTTCATGTGCAAAAGGTAGGTGATGTACACCGCTCCTCATATTGTCCTGAGGACTAGAAACAATGTAGGTTGTTACCTGGCACATATAGAAAGCTACCACCTTGGCAGCACTAATAAATTTAAATTTGCAGGCTCCTTACCCAGTAAATTTACCCCTATTTTTTAAATTGGAGATGTTGACACTGCACTTTGGGTCTCGAAAGAGCTTTCGTTTCAAAAATCTTGATCACTTGAGGGAAAAATAAATGAGTTTTTGGTTCTGTGTTTATAGAGTGAGCATTCCTATGGGTACCAGCCAAGCAAACACGATTTGCACCTCAGTGAAAGGCGTGTTTGAATGTTTCCGCCTAGAAAGGGAGGACCCTACAGACATGCGGGCTAAGAATCTCGGGTTCAACTTTATTTGTAGGCGTGGAGCCCACTCGGTGTAAGAGTGGTGGGGCACACAGGAGAGTCTGGGTCCCGGAAGCCGTGGCGGACACTGGGTGCCGCTTTCTCTCCCCGCTTTCTGGTGGCTGGAAGATCCCCGCAGAGACTGTCGGTCTGCAACAGGTTCGCAAAGAGCCGGAGGAGCCCCTCGGCCGGCCTCGCAGCCTATCAGCGGCCCGGGGCGGGGCCGCCACACCTGCAGAGCGGTGACATCATCGCACCCGGGAGGTTTCCGAAGGCTCGGCCAATGGGGCGCGGGCGCAGCGGCTTTCCCTGTGCCATGCTCACCCAATGCCGGCAGGGCCCGAGGGGGCGCGGCCGTAGGCGGAAGACCAATGGGAGACAGGTAGGAACACGAGGCGGAGTTGCGAGTCTTGGGGCCAATAGGAAGGAGGGGGCGGGACCCGGGTCTTGTCAAGTCCGGCCAACCAGTTGGAGGGGCGGGTCTGAGGGCAGGGCCTCAGAAGCTCCTCCAATCGCGATGGGATGTGGGCGGGGCGTGCTGCGGGCAGCCCAATGGGAACGGCGGCTGGCACGGGCCTGGCAGGGGCAGGGGCCGGGGGCGGGCGGCGGCGAGTCGGGATAAACACTCGGCGGCTGGGCTCCGTGTTCTCCCTGCGTCTCAGAGTGCTACTGTCCCGGCTGGCCAGCGAGGCAGCCCTTGGCGTTCCGGTGGCCTGCCCGGTGCAGGATGGCGGCGGCCGTTCGGATGAACATCCAGATGCTGCTGGAGGCTGCCGACTACCTGGAGCGGCGGGAGAGAGGTGCACGGCGGGGCTGCGGGGCGGCGGGCAGCGGGCCGGGTGGCCGCTGAGATGGTTGGGGAGCGCGGCCGCGAGAGTCTAATCTCCGGGCTCCGCGCGCCCCAGGCCGTGCCCCAAAGGCCAACGGATGGGCGGGCCGGTACCCACCTGCCGGCGGGCCGCACTGCCTCCACTGTGAGCAGCAGAAACCTCCACACCGCGGGAAAACAGGCATTGTTCTCAGAATTCACCTCACTCGGTGGGCCGGGGCCTCAGAGTCCGACGGAAAAATAACGCCGGGCGAAGGGCTCATTCATTAACTGCGTCCCTCGGTTTTCTAGAAGCTGAACACGGGTATGCCTCCATGTTACCGTACAACAAGGACAGAGATGCCTTCAAGCGGAGGAACAAATCCAAGAAGAATAGCACCAGCAGCAGGTAACGTGGTCGGTGTCTCTGCTAGACTGTACTGTCGGCAGTACGACGGCAGAGTGCTAGCTGCCGCTGGGATGGAAACCCGGCATCCAGGGTTCAGCTATGCACACAGGGTCTTGAACCATTGCAAGAAGCAGCCCTTGAGTTAGAGAAGAATAGGTGTGTCTTACATTTCACTATGACCTTTAAATTTTTTTAGTTTTACTTTTCATCTCTTCTGAACAGAAATCTTTGAAGGCTTCAAATGGGATTAGCAGCAATGGCAGTACTTTTGTCTCTTCAGAGAGTCAGCACACATTTTCTGTAATTCAAACTGCTGGACATTCTCACTTTATTTTGCTTTTTATAATGAAGATTTTGTAAAGGTGGCTGGCCTAGCATAGGTGGTAGAATTTTGCATGTACCTTAGTTACAGTGGTTTGTCTGATAACCGAACTTGTGACCTCTGTTTATAATGGCAGAAATGGATGACTGAGGTTAAATCCTCCTCTGATCCCCGTAAAAATAAATAAATAAATCAAAGAAAAAGAAAGAGTACATAAAGTTATCAGAAAAAAGTGATGGGAAGAGATGGGAGGAGTTGGAGGGGAGGGAGTGGACATGGATTTGATCAAAATACCTTATATACGTATGAAATTCTCAATAAATTATTTATGTAAATAAAAATAAATAAATGAAAGAAAAAAATCCTCTGATGACAGAGGAGCAAGTACATTCAGAATTGACAAACTTTTTGTGTTGGCATCATAGATTGCCTTATAGTTGTTAAAAGCTGTGGATCTCACCAGAAAGTGTTTAGTTAATAGCCACTGAATTCACATTCTAAAGTCCTGAGCACAGTTCCTGGTTCATAATACTGTATCTCTGTTACTGCCTCCTTTGTTTCCCTCTTTGCCTTAAAAATACTAGTTAAAGCTATGTGTTGTGGCACATGCCTTTAATTCCAGAACTCAGGAGGCAGAGGCAGGTAAATCTCTTGAGCTGGGGGCCAGCCTGACCTACATAGAGCATTTCAGGGCTATGTAGTGAGACTCTGTCAAATGAATACAAAATGCTAGTTGGTAGGAAATCTGTTACTAGGTCCATTCAATTATATGGAAGCATGCCTGCCAATTAAAATCATTAACATTTTCATGCCTGATTTAGAATCTTAATCCCTCCCCCTCCATGAATAACTCCCTCAAGTACTATAGGGTAGCCTCTGTGGCTTAACACAGACCACAAACCCCAGGACATTCCCAGTTACACCTAAAACTCACTCATCCTGTCCTTGGCTCACCTCATGGTCACTGGTGTTGGAATCACAGAGCCTAAGCAGAACACTGTGCCACATTCCTGATGCATGGGAAGAGCACATGGCAATTACCTGGTGGATTCTCCTCATACTCCATCTAACATGGCCTGAAGGTGGTGGTCATAGTGCTGCACATGGGTACTGTAGGCTGTAGAAGGAAGTTAACATGACTGTGTCATACAATGGTATCAGAACCAGCTGTGCTGCATTGTGTTAAGACTATCACTTTCTGTATTTTGGCTTAGAAGAACTTTCAGGGGTGTGTGTGTTTCCTAGAAAAGCCTATTCCATGTCTCCCTTTATTATTACCTACTCCTGAGTTAGGAAAAATTATCTATCTTACTAGTCAAGGCTTAATACCTTAATTTTTCTTTTCTTTTTTTACTGTTTCACAGGAAGGTTGTAGGGGGATGCTCAGTACTAGGGAGTAGAAAAGATGTTAATGAAGTGGTGTGGCCTAGAAAGGTAAACAGGAAACACCAATGGTACCTGGAAGTGCCCTGCCAAGGAATGGGTTCTTCCTCTTCTCTCAGTAGCCAACATTATTCCTGAAAAGTGGCCACAGTTCCTGGCTTGGGGGAGAGCTGTGTCACTTCTGTTAAGCGATGGGTTTCTTTCTTTATTTAGAGACTGCTTTCACTGCTGTCCACATACTTTCCTAATACTGAACTGGTGCAATTCGGTGGGGTAAGAATCAGAGTCCATGATTAAACCTGGAGAAGAGAGAAGGAAACATCAGAAGTTAGAGCAGGCAGTCTTACAGAAGTGCAGTCACTTCTTACCAGGCTTCTGGCATCCCTCACCTGAGGAGTGGGAGTTCCCACAGAGCTGGACTTCTGCCCAGGCCAGGCTATCAGAAACTTGAACTGAGGAGAGGGCCAAGAGATAGTGCTGGTTTACAGAACTCTTGGATAACAACATATTCGTATTCAGGTTGAAGTATTATGCTCTTTACTTGAGGAGTCTGAGGGAATACTTTGCCTTGGACAATAAAAAAGATTGAGCCATTATATCAAACTTCTGGAAAATGAAAATGCAGTTTATTTAAAATCTGCTTGTTAAAAAAAATTAACAAAATAGTGATTACTAGTTGCTTTGGAATCATCCAAAGAACTACAGGGACACAGAAAGATTGGAGCCTTTCTTTCTCTATTACTGGTTCTTTTAAATCACTTATTTATAACTTAAATCAAAAGCTTTGTTTTCTTGTCCTGTTTTGTTTTGTTTGCTGTTGTCTTTAAAGAAACAAGATCTTGGGGCTGAGGATATCCTTCAGTGGCAGAGCACTTGCCTAGCCTGTGAGGCCCTAGGTTTAATCCCCAGAACTGCCAAAAAGGCAAAGTCTTGCTTACTGCCCAAGCTGGCCCCAAACTCCTAGGTTCCAATGTTCTTCCTGTCTCAACCTGTTAAGTAGCTGGAATGACATATTCATGCCACTGTGCCTGAAGTATATTTTGTTACTTGAGTAAAACAGGCTCTGCCACCGATATGAAAGAGGAAGTCTGGGACTTGGCCATCACCCTGTATTAAAAGGCAATGGCTGTGGAGCTGACCCAACAGGAGGAGCCTTTCTGAACCCAAGGACTTTACCCACTTCTCAGACACGTTGCATTTGACTGAGTTATCTTTTTATTGGGGTATGCTGTTAAAGACTGAGATTGACCTTATCAGCAATTCCAGAGTCATTGAATCTTCCATAATCACATGGAAAGTAGTTTGTCAAAGAGAGGGCATCTGCATAGTCCTGATACTTTAATTAAAAGCTAGATGCTCACCCACAGTGGGGGGTGACTGATGCTTATTAATGACTAACTCAGTTTCAGCAAGCTGAGTGTGCTTCAGTTACACCCTGGTAGGTGGAAGTTCCCCTTAAAAAGCACCATGTGAGAACACTCTTAAGTAATCTAGTAAAATCTATCATTTCTAAAACTTGGTTCAAAATTTGGAAAGAGTTGTACTGCTATAGAATTTGTGAAAAAGTTTATCTTGGGGATTCAGTATTTTATATAGACATTACTCTATCAATCTGTCTATAGCTCTTCAAAGAATCCAGAAATTACTAGAAAGAGAACTCCAGATGTTCTTATTTTCTCCTTTCAACCTGTTCACCTTTTCTTCCTCTTCCTCCAGGGATCCTTTTCTGTAGTTACACAGGGAAGTCTTGACCAGCTCTATAGTTAATCATCCATTTAAAAAGTTTTGTCAAAGCCGGGCATGGTGCCACAGGCCTGTAGTCCCAGCATTTGGGAGGCAGAGGCAGGCGGATCTCTATGGGTTCAAGGCCAGCCTGGTCTACATGGTGAATTAGTGCTCTTGATCACTGAGCCAGTCTCCAGCCCCTCTAAAAAAAAAAAAAAAAAAAAAAAAAAAAAAAAAAGTTTTGTCAGACTTTGAGCTTACAATTCCCAGTTAAAGGTAAAACATATTTGAAGCCACGATTTGCAGTTTGGGCCAGATTCTTGTTCACTGTGGTTCCCTGCTGGCCCCTGAAGGATGTAAACCTTCCCCAGAAGGTGCCTGAAGAGGGCTGGTGGAGAACCCAGTGAAGGAACTGAAAACAATTATTCTCATTTGCTTTTCCTCATGAATAGAAATTAATCTCCTAGGGACCTTGTAGAATATAAGGTCCCTAGGAGATTTTTATTTTAATTTTTTTTGCATAACACATTTTTTGTATATTTTTTATTGAATTTTTGTGTATTTCATACAGAACATCTTAATCCTTTTTATACCTCCTCCCCCATCCATACCCTCCCAACCCCCCCTCCGCCACTGGATTTCATGTGTTCTTTCATTTATGTTAAGGCCTATTGAGTCAAGTTAGTGTCCCCAGGTGTCCCTCAGGTCAGGTTCATCCACTAGGGTCTAGTCAGCCTATCTAAAATCACTCCCTTAAAAATCAGTCCTCCTTCATCCAGCAATAATCAGCTGCCACTAGTTCTTGGGCTAAGATTGGAGCCTGCTACCCATTTCCCCAATTCTATGCTGGGCTTTTGTCTGAGTTTGAATGGGTCTTGTGTATGATGTCACCATTGCTGTAGATTCATATGAACAAGGCCCCAGGTGCCTTTAAGACTGTGTTTCTGGGGCTGGAGAGATGGCTCAGCAGTTAAAGAACACTGACCTTGCAGAAGTCCTGGGTTCAAATCCCAGCACCCACATGGCAGTTAACAACTGTCCGTAACTCCAGTTCCAGGGGATCCGACAGCCTCTTCTGTCCTCTACTGTAGCCTGGTCTACATAGTTCCAGGACGGCTGGGGCTACAGGGAGACCCTCTCTCAAAAAGACCAAAAAAAAAAAAAAAAAAAGATTGTGTTTCCATGTGGTCATGCACCTCCTCCCCTGGCTCTTAGAATCTTTCTGCCCCTTCTTCCACAATGGTCCCTGAGCCCTGTGGGTAGGCGGAGTTTAATATAGGAGTCCTGTCCAAGGACCCACATTCTGCAGACTCTTATCTCTATACTTCAGCCAGTTATGGCCTTTTGTGTTCATTGTCCTCTGTTGCATGAGGGAAAAGCTTTTTAATTTTTAAAATAATTTTTATTTTAATTGTGTGCATGCTGTGTGTGTGCACCTGGGTACCCATGTATGCCAAAAGAAGGTATCTGACTCCCTGGAGGCAGTTGTGAGCCACCCAGTGTCAGTGCTGGGATCCATACATGCTCATATCCACTGAGCCATCTCAGCAGCCCCCAGTTTTTAAAATTTTATTACATTTTTATTTATTTAGTATGTACGTGTATAGGCACATATGGGCCACACCCCACATGTGGAGATCAGAGGACTCCTACCAACTTCATGAGTTGGTTCTCTTCCTCTACCATGTGGGTCCCAGAGATTAAACTCAAGTAGTCTGTCTTGGCCACAAGTACCTTTACCTACTAAGCCATCTTACTGGCCCATAGAAGAGAAGTTTTAATGCTGAGCTAGAGATTTCCTGTGTGAAGACACTCATCTGCCCCACAGACACACCGACCATCCCCATGTGTGTTCAGTGAGTGAGCTTGGCACTGGTGCCAGTAGTGCTGGGCATGATTGGGCATTTCCCATGGCTGCTATAAGGGTTTACCTCCTGGGCCCACAGAATTCACAACCCAAGCCAGGGAGCAAACTCCTGAGCCAGTTAGATTCCACAGAATTCCATAAGGTTCAGATTCAGTCCCTTTCTACCGCTGGGCAGTTCCTCACATTCAAACCTGGTTAGGGAGGAGCTGTGTGGGGAGATAGGAGGGGTCATGCTGACTTTCTGTGTCTGCGGAAATATGTCCATGAGGTCTAAGGCCAGACCTGATCATCAAGGTCAGCTGTAAACACGCTGATAATAGGGTTTTGCATCCAGCACACCTTTCATCCCAGGCTCTCTAGTCACTTTTACGGTTGCTACCTCATTGATCCATACTTGTTTAGATTGTTGATGATATTTTTATTCCCATTTTACAGAAGGGTTAATTAAGGACAGGATATTAAAGTCATTTCATCTACAGTACCATCAGGGGCAAAGCTGGACTTCTTTCACCCTGACTGCTGTGCTCACCAGTCTGTTGCCTTTATGCTGAATGAGTTTGAAAACCCTTCCATTATGCTGCTCAGTGGTAGCATCCTTCAGGAAGTTGTGCATGGGGCGCTTGCTTTAGGGAGCTGAAAAATTAGGGAGTTATTTTATCAGTTAAAATTGGATCTTGTAGCTAAACAATATAAAGCTTTAGTATATGGTGCCCCTAGCAGGGGTGGTGGGATACTATCTCCATGGCTTATCCATAACCTAAAGAAAACTTAGTGGTATTTTGTAACTCCAATTCACATCACAATGTAAAACTGTTTTTCTCCACCTCTAACTAGATAGACCCTTTTCTTCCTTATAAAGGATTGCTTGTCTTACTAAGTCACTGTTCCTGGAACTCTATTTTAGATACTTAGAATTATCTGACTCCCCACGTAGACTTGTTCCTTTAGTAGAACCCATTGAATTTCTCTCCCACTTTCTCTTCTGCCAACTATGGAGAAGAAGTTGTTAAAATAGGGGCCGGGCAAAAAGTACTGCACAATCCTGAGGAAAACTCGGGCATGGCAGTACATGTCTGTAACTCAACATTGTGGGGCTGGGGACACTGATCCCTGGGGCTCACTGACCAGCCAGCTTAGCCAAGATACCCTGGCTCAAGAAATACAATGGAGAAGGCTGAATGTGGTGGCGCACACCTGTAGTCCCAGCACTTGGGAGGCAGAGGCAGGCGGATCTCTGTGAGTTCAAGGCCAGCCTGGTCTACATAGTGAGTTCCAGGACAGCTGGGGTTACAGGGAGACCCTGTTTCAAAAAGACCAAAAATAATAATAATAATAATAATAATAATAATAATAAATAATAATAATAATGGAGAACAAGATGTAGGAAGACACCCTAGAGTTGATCTTCAACCTCCACACACAAATAAAAGTAAAATGATTATGTTGGTGATGAAGTTGTTCTCTAAGATAATAATCTCATTATTTTTTTGTTCCTCTTTTAGATCAACTCACAATGAGATGGAGAAGAACAGGTGAGTTGGGATATTGGATGTGGCGTGTGGGGTTCTGATGCATTCTGTTCATTAACATATTAGTTGCCACTTTTTCCAACTGTTCCCAGTAGCAACCACTAAGAGTTTACACCAGCCAGGTGTGGTGGCGCATGCCTTTAATTCTAGCACTTGGGAGGCAGAGGCAGACAGATCTCTGTGAGTTCAAGGCCAGCCTGATCTACATAGTGAGTTCCAGACCAGCTGGGGCTACAGGGAGACCCAGTCTCAAAACAAGGAAAAAAAAAAAAAGAGTTTACTCAGGGGACCAGGCATGGGCACACACCTTTGATCCCAACACTCAGGAGGCAGAGGCAAACAGAGAATCTCTGTGAGATTGAGGCCAGCCTGATCTACATAGTGAGTTCCAGTACAGTTGGGGCTATAGGGAGACCCTGTTTCAAAAGAGAGAGAGAGAGAGAGAGAGAGAGAGAGAGAGGAGAGAGAGAGAGGTTTATGTTAACTACATTATACACCTACACATACATTTTCTGGGGTAGGAACAGATATTTATTTCTGCCAATTCTATAAAATAGCTATTTTAATAGGAAAATTTTAAATGTATAAAAGTAGATTGAAGAATGCGATCTAGTCCTGTGTATCCATCACCCAGCCTCCATAGTGATCAACAAAGGCAAAGCAAATATAACTGCATGCCTTTACTGTGCCAAGAAATAAGAAATAATGGTAATTCTTTGTGGAGCTTTAAAAAAATTGCCAGCAATGCTCAGCCTTCATGTAGGATCTTGACTTGTTTCAGGTAGAGACTCTGTATTAGAATTTTTTCAAAAGTTCCCCAGGTGATTCTTACATGCAGCCGTGCTCAGAACCATGGAATAGCCTCATTCTGGTCCCTGAGCACCCATCAACTTGCTGTACAGGCTACCCACCCCAATGGAACTGCTTTCTTAGTGCCTGTGTGAAGATCTGGTGTGGTGATGACTCTGTTTACTATAAATCCTCTTAAGTGACCCTGACTTTGAAAGTCAGCTTAAAATTGTGTTTAGGTTTCATCTGGGAAAGGTCAAACCAGACCCTTAGTGGGAGGCAGGAGTTATGAAGAAGGCAGACATGGGGTACATTCCCTTGTGGGATGTCACATGGACTTCCGTACCTGTTAACTGCTCCTTGATTGTGGCTAACAGTGCTGTAAGTCGTCAGCCTGGCTTTGTGCTTTAAGGGTTTACACATGAAGAACTAGAAACTCAGAAGGATCCTCAGGCAGATGGCAGTGGAGACTTCGCTTTCTCATCTTTGAATCTCTTTGTGTGAGTTTCTCCTTTGGGTAAGGCAGGGCTCCCTCTGCTGAAAAGCCTGAAGGTCTCCTTCTCTCAGGTCTTTTATGTTAGGTATTTATTTGATTTCAGCCCTTTAGGCTGGTCATAGCTCAGTGGTAAAAATGCTTTCCAGGGGTTGTTGTGCATGGCCTTGGGTTCTACCCTAGCACTGCAAAGAAAAAACAGATTTTGTCCCTCAGGCAAAGGCTGTCAAGCTTGTTTTACATTTTTTCCTCTGTACGAGTGCCACATGATGTCAGTGTATCTTTTATTTTAGTAGAGCTTGTACCCTGGCCTACATATTCAGTGAGTTCACACTGTACAGGTGTTAAGTCAGCTAGAGTTTCTAACGAGAAACATGCAGAGACAGTTGGCACACTGAGGGCCAAGCTGAAGCATATGCAGGACAGTGGAGCAGAAATCCTGGAAACTGGATTTGAAGTCAGTGCTGGACTGTCTGCTTAGACTTCAGATTGCGTCCATGTGACCTGCATCTTGTGCTTGTTAAAGGATTAGTTTTCTACTTTCCTCCCAACTGTTCTTTTTGGAATTGTAATGTCTTTTTGGAACTGAAATGTCCTAGTGTGTGGTCCAAAGGGAAGGAAGTAAGGCTGGCTCTACAGCCTGAGGAAGCGGTTAAAGGTTCCTAGCTCCTCTTCTCTTCCTTTGGTAGTACAAGTACTTCAGAATTTCTGTTGTTCTGGGGCAAACAGCTACCCTGGCTTTGCTAGGTGACTGAAAAAGAAAACCCCTCTGTCAGCTCCTACACACTTGAGCCTTTTTTCTTTTTCTTTTTTGAGACAGCATCTCAAGTAGACTCTGCTTGTCTCAACTCATTATATAACCAAAAATTACCTTGACCTTCTGATTCTCCTGCCTGAATACTGGGATTACAAGTGTATGCTATCACACTTGATTTATGCCACACTGGGACTTGAACCCAGAACTTCATGCATGTGAGACAGGTGCACGGCCAACTGATATGCTCAGCCCCACTTTAGCCTTTTTTTAAACCTTAAAACATTGCATAAAAAGATTGTGGTGGTTCTCAAAACAAAAACAACTCAAGAAAGAGATTATGATAGAATTTTTCCCCCTTGGTGTTACAGTTGAGTTCGCTTGGGTTTTTATGACACCTAAGACATTGAGGACAGGCTACTCTAGGTTACAGGACCCCACTGTTAAATGCACAGCATCATGAGAAGACACACATGTAGAATGGTAGAGGTGGTGCCTTCCGCTCGACACCACAAAGGATGGATATGAAAGACATGACATCTTCCGTCTCGTAATCATCTGGTTTATCATTTTCCTCCAGAAAACCAGTTTTCTCCACTTGTAGTGGTTGTTGCCTCCGATCCTCTGATAATATATACTCCTGTTTATGACCAAGGCTTTTCTATATTTAAGATTTCTTTTTTAACTTTTAATTGTGTGTGTGTGTGTGTGTGTGTGTGTGTGTGTGTGTGTGTGTATGTCTGCTGTTGTCTGTGGATATATGCACATGAGGGCATGTGCCCAGAAGGCCAAAGGATCCCTTGGAGCTGGAGTTACAGGAAGTTGTGAGCCACCTGACATAGGTGCTGGGAACCGAACCCAGGTCCTCTGCCAGAGTCGTACACACTTTTAACCACTGAACCATCTCTCTAGCCTCTGGCCAAGGCTTTTTATGACAGTTTGCCTTTCCTTTTTTGAGATAAGCCTTCATTATGGTAGCCCAGGCCAGGCTGGCCTCATGCTTGATATGTATCATGTGCTGGCCTTGAACTCAGGGTCTTCCTACCTCAGCCTCCCATGTGTGAGGATTGCAGTTGCATGACATCATATCCAACTCTGACAAATTTTTAATTAGTCCACCAATTTCTCATCTCCCTCATTCTTAGAATTTCAAAAGTTGAAACTGCATACTTCCAATGTAAATTAGCCTTTAGGAGTATATGCTGACATACTAGATCTTTCCATCCAGGACTTGATGTGTGTCTTAATTTACTCAGATCATTCTCATTTCTAAGCAAAGCTTTGTAGTATTTCCTCATAAACTTTACACATTTCTTGCGAAAAGTACTCCTGGGTTTATGATGTTTTAGTTGCTGTCAGTTTCCCTCTGTAGTTAAGAGCTGATCATCTTTAGAATATAGGAACCTTTTTGTCTGTTGTGTGCCATGTAGAAATGGTCCTGCTGTATCTTTGATCTGGGAATTGCTCTGGTTTAAATGCCTTTTAGTCAGCCCTGCAGTGAATAGAAATGAGTGAATAGACATTAGCCACAGTAGGTCAGGAGTTGGGTGCTACAAGGGGCCCTCATTCAGGAGAAGGCTCTGGCTTCTTTAATAGTAGATAGCCATTTTTCTGGAATGGTATGAATGCAGACTTTTACTGAGATTGGGCAGTACCTCTACCAGTCTTCTGACCCTGTGACAAAAGAGTTTTATGTGTGCTCTGTGGGGAAGACTCAGAAGCCTGGGCTATACAGTTATTTCCTTTGTCCAACAGGATTTCAGTGGCACCTGGTCTGGCGTGAGAAACCATTCCAGGAGGTGTCCTTTGGCAGAATGTTCTGATCAGTCACACATCCCTATAACTATTTCATTAGGGTTCTGACTTTTCAAATGACCAAAAGCTTTATATCAGAAGGATTGAGACATGGTGTATACAGGGCCAGGGTTGTGGTGTGCACAGAGGCAGGGGTATGGTGTGTACAGGGGCAGGGGTGTGGTGTGCATAGGGCCAGGGTGTGGTATATACAGGGCCAGGGTTGTGGTCTGCTCAGGGCCAGGGGTATGGTGTGCACAGGGCCAGAGGTGTAATGTACATGGGGCCTGGGTGTGGTATGTATTGCACCACTAGCTGCTTCTGCAATGCCCTTAACCACATTCAGATTCCATTCTAAGATGTCATAACAGATCTGTAAGTGCTGCCACATGGCATCTTGCCTGGAAGCACTAGAAGAGACCTATGTTGTTGGCTTAGCCAGCTTCTGACCCCTCTGCCTGGTTCCTTCATCACCAGAATTAAATGTCTCAGGGTGAGATGAGCCTGCAGGTGTTCTTTATAATACATCTTTATGTTAAACTCTGAGAAGGAACTCCTAAGGAAACTATCTGTATCTTCCCAATGGAGCCACCACACAATCATTGTTCATGCATCTTCACCTGATACATTACCATCTTTATGTTTCTGCAAAGATTGATCAGCATAGCTGTGAAAATCTTCCAGGATTTCAGTTAAAGTAGTTAGACATAGACTATGGCAGTTGTGTATCGAGAAATCATTCTAGAAAAAAAGGAAGAAAGTATTTTCCCCTCAAAATATGACTCAGGATTTTCCTGAAGATCTGTGTTAACTCCGCAAGCCTTTGCTCTTATTTCAAAGCCAGTCTTGACCCCTAGTCACTTGCAGGGAGCTATTTTTATTTTTTATTTTATTATTATTTTTTAATGTGTATGAGTGTTTTGCCTGCATGCATTTAAGTGCACCCGTGTCATGCAGTGCCTGTGGAGGTCAGAAGAAGGCGTCAGATCCCCTGGAACTGAAGCTATAGATGGTTGTTAACCACGATGTGAGTGCTGGGAATCGAACCTGGGTCCTCTGCAAGAGCAGTCAGTGCTCCTAACCACTGAGCATCTCGCTAGCCCCCATTTGCAGGGAGCTTTTGATCCCTTAATAAGACTTGGTTCTTCTGACTGCCTCTGTACAGCTTGTGCATACCCATAGCTGAAACCATTTCCATTCGTGATCCAGTTATCCTGTAGGAATTCTGATGCTTTTTAATTAAGTCTGTGCTCACAGCAGGGTAGGAGAGAAAACAGGGAAAGCTTCAAGTTGAGCAGCCACCCTTTTTGGCTAATAATCATAGGCACAGCTTTAATGAAAAACTAGTACCAAGTAAGGCCAAGTGTTGCACTCTGCAGGCATCCTTCAGAGAGAAGGACGTGGATCTACAGGTGCTCTCAAGTCAGCGTGGACAGACTATCCCATGCCAATAGGTGCCAGTACATTGATGAGAAACAAAAAACTGGTGCCTTTTTGACTTGGTTATGAAACAGAAGAAATAGATACAGAGAAAGTTTGTGTAGTAAATGAATGTGGCCCATTCAGAGAGGAAGATGACCATAGCTCTGAAGGCTTGCAGGGCTCTGAGGGAGAGGGCAAAGAGGAGCCCACTCCAAAGCTGTAAGTGGAAGCTGGTTTGTTGTGACTCTGCATTGCCTCCAAGGCAGGGACTTACTCCAGCATTATCCCAGCGACTAGGAGGAAAACATCAGCAAGCAGTAGTCCTTTGAGAAACTACGTGGGAGAAAGGGTAGAAGAACCAAGCGTCCATTGCAGGAACCACCTGGAACCTGGTTGCATGTCAGCCCCTTTGCCAGCAAGAGCTCAGTATGATGTGTTTCATAGTTAAAGTTAGGCTCTGCAAAGGAGATACTAACATGCACATGTGAGCTCTCTCATACAATACCGCTCTGAATCCTGACTACATCCAAGCCAGGAAGAACCGTCAGTGAACATTCAAGTCTGGAGCTCCTCTCTGCAGGTAGCACCGTCCGCCTGCAGTCAGCCTCTTCTTGAAAATGTTCTGTATACAAACACTAACCTGAGAGACATGAACAGAACTGAAGAAGCTTGAGTCACCCCTTAACCCAGGGATGCCCAGCAGTCCAGAGCTGCCTTTGGGGGCTTTCTCCTCACTTGGATTTTCAGTTTTCCATCATTCATGGCTAAGGAAAGTTGAGCAAAACTAACAAGAGCTGTGCAGCATGCAAACAAACTGTGTGGCCTGTGAGCTTTCTATTTAAACCTTTAGTCTGTGCTGCTTTTCATTATCGAAGCTTCATAATGCAGTTTAGTATCTGCTACAGCACATCCTTCCTGTTCTTGTTTGAGAAATATTGGTAGTGTCTTACACATTGTTCTGCTACATGAAGCTTAGACTAATTTCCCAGCATTTAAAGAGAACTGTTGGGATTTTGTTTTCTGGGGTTATGTTAACTTGGTAAGCTTGGAGAATGCAGCATTTTTGCTTTGAAGGCTCATCTCCAGGAATGTACATTTTTTTTCCCAATCGTTCAGCTTTTCCTGTCCTTCAGCAGTGTTTGATAGTTTTCTTCCCATCAGTCCTTCCCCACTTAGTTTAAGTTCCCTTCTAACTGTGCTACCCTTTCTTCTTGCCATGGGAGTAAGCCCCTGATACACATGGCTCTCCGGCTGGGTCAGAGCTTCCTGTTTTATTTCCCTTGGTCCTTTGCAGTAGAGGTTTAGAGGGAGTCCCCAACCAGTGCCCAGGCTAGGCAGTGAGGCACACATTTCTGTCCTGACCCAGATCCTCTCCGCCCTGCTGTACACAGGATGGTGGCCTCAGAGGGACATCTCTGTACTCAGTAACTTTATAAATGCTGTATTGATTTTTTAGATGTTAAAAAAAGACACCTTTAGCATAAGCAGTGTCCCTATTGCTATAGGATTAGCTTGATTATTAAATATTTCAATGACAAAAGAGGCTCCCTGCCTCTCTGTGCCTGGTGAGAGGCTTCCGAGTTCCTTAGTGACTGAAAAGGAATCTTCTAGCACCACAACTGTCCATACTTGCTCACAGCAATCACCCTTGTGCAGAGGAAGCCAGACCTGAAGCCCCCACCCATTAGGTAACTCTGCGTCAGGCCTAGAGTGCATCCATCCTTGTCTCAGTTAATGTCACAGTGGTTCTCTCAGACCTCATCACCCTCACTCTGCAGGTAAGGAAACTAAGGCCACACAGAGTTGGACAATTTGTTCAAAGTCACACAGGGAGTATGTGGCAAAAATCAGGTTCCCCAACGTCTACTCTTCACTACACTAATATTGGATTCTATAACAATGGACAAATTCAGAATATTAAAAATAATAGAAAGTAAAACCTGGGGTTTTACTTTCTTTTAACCTTTTATTTTATGCCTACCTTGGACAATCTGTGGTTTGATCTGAGTGGATTGCTGGTTACAGACTGCTCCTGATTCCAGTGCTATGATTATAGCCCAGGTGAAAGCATGGCTTCCCTGTGCTGCTGTAGAACCAAGCCATGTGCCCACATGTGTTAATTAGAGCCATCTTTCTGAAGAGCCAGCAGGAAACCCTGAGCTTCATTACCTAGGTACAAGGTAGTGATGCTCTGCTAAGAACAGACAGCAGAGACAGGAAGGTCAGTGCACTGCTTCATAGTGTTGTTTTTTTTTAAATTTTGTGTGTGTGTGTGTGTGTGTGGTATGTGCACGTGTATGTAGATGCCAACTGAGACCAGAGGTGCCAGATCCCTTGGAGCTGGAGTTGCAGACAGTAGTGAGCCTCTATGTAGGTGCTGGGTATCGAACTCAGGTCCTCTGCAACAGCAGCCAGTGCTCTTAACCACTGAGCCATCTCTCTAGCCCCTCATAGTGTTTCTTTAGTATTAGATTTTTAGTGTGCAGATTAACAGGTCTCACTATGACATTTTTGTCAGTGTGTACTGTGTCTTGCTCCAATGCTCATGTATTTTCCAAGGTGAACCACTTACACATGGCTTCTGCTTTTCTTTCTTTGCTCCTGGCCACTAGCACATGCTGTTGAGTCTGCCAAGCGCTCTTCCACAGGGACAGGGTTCACAGCTGACTGGCTTTTACTCAACCCTGCTGGGATAACGGTGTGTTCCTTGAGCTCATCAGTACTCAGAGCCCCTTAGCACACCATGAGGACTCTCTCCTGATCCATGTGGAACAGAGAGCTGCGAACTAGAGTATCCTAAGTCTGAACAGGCGTGGGATCAACCTCCCTGACTACAGCTTCCTGATGTGGTTTCTTTGGGTCTGCATTCCCACTTGCATTGATATGGTCACAATCCTAAGAAGGCCACAGGTAAACCGTTCAGCTGGAGGAGCTCTGCCCAGGTGGCTCTGTGTAGAAACAGGCGTCACCCTAAGCCCTAAGGCTGAGCTCTGCCATGTGTGTGGATCTGCTGAGGTGGACTCTGTCCCCGCCAAACTTCCAGTCTCCCTAAATGGCATCCATAGTCATCAGTAGACACTATGAGATGTGTGTGGGCTGTGACTAAGCTGCAGTCCACCTTTCTGGGGAGCTGGAGTAAAGCCTCCCAGGGAACCCCCCAGAAGCTGTACTCAGTAGATGGATAAACCTCTGAGGCTGAGACAGCTTCTTCCAAAGGCTTTAAGGAGAATCCCTGATATCTGGCTATTCCTCACATTCATGGAATTGGCTAGATTCTAGAGTGAAGTCAAAACAAAGGTTTCAGTGAAGTGTGAACTTCGAGAATTGTAGGGGCTCTTGTGTTTCTGGTCATCCTTGACAGACTGTTCTGTAGGTAGCTGTGGTTCCCTCCTCATCAGCCTTTGTCCTACGCACGATGTGTGAGTGACTACACAGTGTAAACACTACACAGCAATGATACAGAGAAGGACAGGTTGAGGATTTCCCTCAGGGAAGGTCATATTTTCTAACATGGGTATTCTAGTGTAGCCCAGGAGAGAGGTGGTAAAGTGCCTAATACGAGCAGATTTTGTTCCTCGCCACCCCATTACAGATGGACTTAGAATCCATGGGCTCTGCTTCTCGGTTCCCACAGAGGTATCTGGCCTCACCCCATGTTGGTGGTGGTACTTGTCATCATTGGGTTGGGCCACCTCATACTCTAGAACTTGTTGTTCCTGGGCCCACTCCAGCCTACCCAGGATTCTCAAGTGCTGCCACGGTCCTGTTTTCCCAGACGTGCTCACCTCCGCTTGTGCCTGGAGAAGTTGAAGGGATTGGTGCCGCTGGGCCCTGAGTCAAGCCGACATACCACACTGAGTCTGTTGACAAAAGCCAAATTGCACATAAAGGTAGGTGCCCTGGTCTGCCACTCTGTCCCTTCCGTCTGGTGAGGGTTTCTCAGTTGCTCAGTTGTCCTCTGAGCTTCTCCTACCTGCCTTATGGACCAACCATAGGCAATGCCTCCAAAACCCAACTGAGCATTTCTCAGCCACTAGAGGTAGAGTTAAGTGGTCCAGCCAGAACCTTGGACCACCTTGGACCCTGACACTTCTAGCCATGGGTATCCCCACCATCTCCAAGACCTCAGTGTTTCACAGCCTGACCTGCTGCCATCTGCATCTACCACTATCACTGCAGTAGACCCTATAGTTTCCTGTGTGCTCTGCACTGCCCCCTCTCCTCTCTCTGCTGAGAACAAACCTGCCAGAACTGGGCCGGCCCACCAGATGCACAAGTTATTCTGTCACCAGGCCTCTCCTGCCTCCACAGCAGCATGGTGGGGCACACTGCCCCTCTACACCTTGCTCTTGTCATGTTCTTATACCATCAACTGTGTTGTCCCTCTGTGGTGCCTTTATGCTTCTCTGCATGGCTAGCCTCTCATTCTGCAGATCTCAGCACAGGGCTCCCAACTCCAGAAGCCTTCACCAACTCTTTCCTGACATGGGGTCACCTCAGTGCCTGACATAGTACACATTGGTAATGGCCTATAGCCCCATGGAGGGACTGAGTCTTTGTGTACATGTTGTATCCCCAGCACCTGGTGGTACCTGTGCAGAGCTGGTACCCAGTCTGTACCCCTGAGCCACAGCAGTGTTACCATTCAGCTGTAGCTTTGTTAGACAACTATTGATGTATTAATGGTCAATGGCCTACACACATGGCAGCTCTGGGAGAGAAAGAACTTCCAATAGAAGCAAAGCAGCTACAGTCAGACACACTTGTTAATTATCTGCTCAATATGAGAAGCTAGGGGCAGATTTGTAAAAATGAGCCCTCTGTGGAAATGTTTCCAGGCTATCCTATTGGGCAGTTTGGAATCAGGGCTTTAAAAGGACTGCTGTCTCCTGCTAACAACAGTTCATTAGGGTTTGACGTGAAAAAAGAATGTGCTCATGTAATTGGAACTGTGCAGGAGTAGACATCATTTTAAATAGAAGTGTTGCATAGCTCCCATCCAATGCCATTTTCTAGCTCAGAGAGACCAGGTGTTCAGGAAGCTGCTGCAGATGTGGAGACCAGTTAAGAGATCTGCAGTCTTTTTGGATACTAAGGTTGAAGGGTATGGGACTCAGGCTGTGTGATGAAGCCCACAGCCATTGCCAGCTGACTTCCTGTTCCAGAGAGAAACTTGACAAGTGACACACGAAATGGCCTCTGGGGACAAGTGGCACACTGTCCTGCTGGCAAGTTAGACAGAGGTTCCTTGCCAATTTAGAAAGTGCCCATGGCCTCCAACAACTATCCCTTTGACTTGCAGAAACTTGAAGATTGTGACAGAAAAGCTGTTCACCAAATAGACCAGCTTCAGCGGGAGCAGCGGCACCTGAAGAGGCGGCTAGAGAAGCTGGGCATGGAGAGGACGCGGATGGACAGTGTGGGCTCTGCGGTGTCCTCGGAGCGCTCCGACTCGGACAGAGGTGAGCCATGCCTGCCAGAGGGTATCAGGAGGCATAGTCAGACACACTTGTTAATTATCTGCTCAGCAGATAAGACTGGACTCGTGGAAGCCAGCTAGATGGTACCTGCCACTGAGCATAACAACCTAAGGTTCTCCGACCTCCACTCATGTACACTTGCACACATACACGCAAAATAAATTAATTAAAATGCAATAAAAATTTTAAGTAGGGCTCAGGCCTTTGGGAGCTGAGCAACAGACTGAGGTGACCATCCTCTGAGAGTTAGGTGGAGGCCAAGAAGGGCTGTGGGCAGTTGAGGCAGCCAAACTAGTTGGGAGGTCCTCACATGTGTCTTCCCCTGCAGAAGAGCTGGACGTGGACGTGGAGAGCACAGACTACCTCACTGGGGAGCTGGACTGGAGCAGCAGTGTGAGCGACTCTGACGAGCGCGGCAGCATGCAGAGTATGGGCAGTGATGAGGGCTACTCCAGTGCAGGCATCAAAAGAGCCACTCTCCAGGACAGTCACAAGGCGGGCCTTGGGCTATAGGGAAAGGCTGCCCAACCTCCCCGTGGATCTGATTAGGTAGTGTACCAGACTTGCCCAGATGCCCCTGCACACAAATCTCATGTACCATCTTGACCAAAATCAACCTTGTCCACTTTTCAGAAAATGCGTAGGACGTTGGTTCTGAATGCTCAGCACCTTCTCTCCATACACGCTGACTCTGAGAGACTGTACATTCCAGTCAGCTCAAAGCACCCAAGAATTCTTAGCCTGAATAAACACGTTTCCCTTGCAGCAGCATCCCCCGTGCACTGTCCTCCCACAGCTGACCATCTTAGTTTCCAGCTCATGATGGTACTTACCTAGGAGAGAAGTCCAACCCATCTTGCATAGGAAACCGCAGCAGACAAGCTTCTCAAGAGATCTAAACTCGGAACTCCAGAGGGAGCTTTGAAAGCAGGATGGAAGGCTCCCTACCCTGTGAAAAGTCAGGAGGGACTCCAGAAAGCCAAGCGTCCCACTACAGAGGACACCCCACAGCGAGCCTTTGGGGTCCCAGCTCAGGAGAACTGCCATTCTAGGGACCTGGCTGTGTGCTGTGTCTCCAGGCGCACACCCCTAGGTTTGTTGATTCTGCTTGTCTCTGGAGCATTTTCCTACCTCAGAGATAGATGAGATCTCCATTTCCCACGTAACAAAAGTGATTATGCCTCTTTTTCCCCCTCAGATGAGCAGCATTTGATCCCATTCTAATCTATTTTCCTGTTGAACTTTCAGCAATAACTGAGCTTTGGCACTGACTGAGCTAACAGCCACTGTCCACAAGAGAGTCAACAATTCTGCTCCGTGGCAGGTGAACAGGAGGGGCCTCACAGGCTCTCCAGCACCCTCCTGCTGGGTTGTTTTTTGGATATACCCAGAAGCTTCTGTTTGGAGACTTCTGGGCTGATGGTTTAAAAGGCTGGTTTTTTTCCCCTTCCCAGCATTTTTATTTAATCTGAACCAGAGCACATGTATATGTACATAAGACACAAAATCTATAAATATTATTTATTCATTTTATATAAACTAATGTAATGAAAAATAAATTCTTATGACTTTGTGCTTTTATAGATATTCTAAAAACTTTGTACATAGGTATCTACAAAATTGGTTCATTCCTCTGAATATTTTTGCATTCATATTTTTGAGGTCTGGATGTTTCCTGCCCCCAGGGAATCTTTTTCATTGAGTCTGAACCATTTGTAAAATCTGTGCCACTGGCTGCAGCCAAGCATGTGTCATGGAGCGATGGAACATTCCTAGGATCCAGAGGCATCACACAAGTGCTCCACACAGAGTCAGCAGCTTGCAACCACACTCCAGGGCACACCCCAGCCTTGCAGTACCCCTCCTGGTCCAAAAGCGCCCTGGCAGAGCTCAGCTACCATGAAGAACAGTCCTAACAATGCAAGGGCACTTCTGTGGATTTCTTTTTTTAATGATTCTTTAATGTGCTAACATTTTTAGATTGAAAGTTGTGGGTCCCTGGATGATTCCAGTCACCTGTCATCTGTTTTTGTTCATTCTGGACTTTTCCTTCATTTCTGCTTCTGGTTGAGGGAGGGGCAGGTGACACAAAAACTTTTTTTTCTTGTTGGAGTTTTTCCAACTACCAGCTGAAAATTTGCACTGAGACACAGCATGGATGCCTTTCACATTTTCAAAGCCCGCTTCCAGTCTGAGCAGAGCAGTAGTGTTCAAGGAGCCAACATGGCCATCCTGCCGAAGAAGATACTTGTGCACTTTGAGGTCCCCTACCAGCACCTGCCAGACCTCGCAAGCATCCTGTCTGATCACTGCATCCAAGCGAGCGCCTTACAAGCCCACAATGCCTCAGGGCTTTGGAAACTCAAGACTGTGGGAAAGCTTGTGGGCTTGCACTGGGGAGGGAGGGGGACAAAACTTATGTACTTGTTTATTTCACTTAAAAATAAGGTGTCTGAGAGATGCCATTTTCTGTGTTTTCATTGTTGCACCATTGAGTTAAACTGTTTTTTGTCTTTCTGTTGAAATAATAAGTGTACTGTCCCAACATAAAGCAGTAATTATTTGACCTTTGTCCTGTTCATCTCCTTTGTGATAAGCTGGCTGGCAGTGCTGGACAGGCTTCTCTAAAAACAGTAGTTTTGGGGAACCCACAAGCTCAGTGCAGGGCAGCTAATCCCCACCTCATCACCAGCTGACATCGCCACTGGTCACCTGCACATCTGCCAAAAGCTGGTCTTTTGGTTTTCTTTTTTTGTTTGTTTTGATGCTTTGAGACAGGGTCTCCCTGTAGCCCCCGCTGTCATGGAACTCACTATGTAGACCAGGCTGGCCTTGAACTCAGAGATCCACCTGCCTCTGCCTCATAAGTGCTGTCATTAAAGGCGTGCAACACCATGCCCGATTGCTTTTGGTTTTCTTAAGCAAAATGAAATACCTTTCTATTGGGTTGCTGGGGGAGGGGGGGGGCACAACAGACACGGATGACAAAGTTATGAATCCCAGCCTTTAAGACTTTCCAATTGTATGTGACTACAAATGTGTGTTGATATAGGTACATGTATTTTTATGTGACAGTTCCTTTTTATTTAAAATCTAAACACATAGGGACACTTTATTGATGCAAATGGGAAAATAAGAGCTCACTAGTGATTTAATTTCATGCCCCGAGGAAACATCTGTTCACTTTGTTGCCATCCCAGAAAACACAGAGTCTGGTCAGGCTGGCTTTGGATGCACCGGGCACCCAGTATATTTCCATTGTGGGCCTCCTTTTGCTTTTGGTAACAAGCCAGCTGCCTCCCTCTTCAAAGCCCCAAGGCTGACTTATTGACCCAGGCCATCAACATTTTGAGCAGGGCTTAGATGCTCATTCTCAACCGAAAGTGAAAATAACTAGAGCTCGGAACTGATTTTTGGGCCAACCGGACCCTGCAGTGGCCACTGGGAAGATTTAAAGTTTGGGCTTTGGAATGTATTTTCCTCTGATCTCCACTGTGTTTGACAGAAGCCAGGGTCTTCCCTGGCCTACCTGCCAGCCTTCTCACCTCTAGTGTGGCCAACAGCACTTAGGGGTCTGGGAACACATATGAGGACTAAGCGCACAATGCTTAAAGCCTAGTGATGTCCTGGGACTCGGCAGTGGCTTCATCAACTTTTCCCTGCCTCTTGCCTTCTATCCTAAGAGAGACTATTTTTGAAGAGTGTATAGATACGCGGTGGGTTTTTTTTTTTTTTTAAGTTTTTTAAATTTAATAACCACATGATTAGAAGAAGCATTTCATTACAGCTTTAACATATTCAGTAACACATTCCAGAGCAAGGATACATTGCTTTCAAAGGTGGCTGTAAATTTTTATGTTCACAGTTGAATTAATACGGTCATACAATATTGAACTCAGTATAAACCCTGTAAGACATAAAATTGAATGAGTTTTTACCCTTTAAAGAAGATCTCCATTTCATTTTAAGATATACTGTTTTCTACATTTTTAATGCTACTAACACATGTTTGCGCATGTGTCTTTAATCTTTATGTATCTGATTATTGCTAGTCACGGTTGGTTACACTCGGATCCTTAGTACCTGAGTATGGATATAAAGTTATCAGGTAGATTTCACTGGCAATGTTTATCACCTCTACTATTTAACATGAAGTAATTTTTTTTTTTAATTTTG